GATGGACCTTCATCCTGATTGGATCCAGTTCCATAGATATGGAGCACTTCTCTTTGCATAAACGACAACTGGCTCACATATAACCTATGTCCTGGATTGTGACACCATGCTATACTTACACTGCCTGGTTTGAAAAACCAACAATTAAAGTCTATGAGCCAAGGTTGCAGTTCAGAAGGCTGCCTGCCACCAGGGGGCGGTGTTGCCAAGTGACTGTTGTCAGGACAATTTGCAGGGCTGGCCCAGGAGCGGTCCCCAAGAACACAGGGCATACTCATCACTCTGTAAACTTTCCACAAAATATGCTTTCAAACTCATATGTATTAATATTTAAACTGATATGTATTAATATTCATTAGTAACCAGCATCCACAAGTATATTCAAAGAAGGACATAATTCAGAGCAAAATTCAAAGACAAATGCGTAGGCAAAGGCTCTCAGTACTAGCACAGTCCAATGGCAGTTGGGACTTTTCATTTTCCATTCATGCGATGGAATACTATGCAGCTATGAAAATGAACACTGTATCACATACGGTATGGATGGATTTCATAAACATAATGCTGAATGTAAGAAGCCAGGCATGAAAGAATAATACTGGATGACTGCACATATATAAAGTTCCAAGATTGATAAAACTAATTATGGTAGTAGAAATCAGGATAGTGTTTTCCTTTGGAAGCCAGGAGAGCTGTGATTAGAAGGAGGGTTTCTCAGATGCTGGTAATGTTCGGTTTCTTGATTAGGGTGCTGGTTGCACAGGTGCATTCACTAGTGAAAATCCATCAAGCTGCACACTTGTGATACATGCACTTTTGTCTGTGTGTGTCGAGCTTCAATTGAGTTTACTAAAAAGAAAAATATCTGGGGGGTACCAGCATCTGCATAGCGGAGCACAGTAACCTTTTATTTGTGTCTGCCAAGTAAGTGTTCCCATCACTCTTCTCTGTTAACAACTCCTGCCCAGCGGCCTCAGGGCAGGGGAGGGGGTGGCCAGAACTGGCCTAGCTCAAGATGTCATCTCCCTGGCACTGGGGATTGGCCCAGGGGGGCTGATCAGAGTCCCTCCCTAGGATTAAGTTGCCTGTTGAAAAAAATTCTCCCTCGATGTTGTGTTGCTGGGATTGGGCTGCCAGTGGCTACATTCCCTGCAGGGACCAGGGGACTGGCTATGGGAGGAGAGACGGTGGCCCGTGGGTGAAGAAGGGCAGAGGCAGAGGAGAAAAGAGCAGGACAAAGAGTCCTGGCTGCTTCGAATCCCAGGTTCTGACCTTCCTCAACTTCTCAGAATCTTCATTTCCTTCCATTCTGTGTGTTAATCTGGCATCTTTCCCAGCTAGGTGAGGCAATGACTGGCGATGCTTCAGCTTGTTTACCTTGGATCCCACCTGCAACGGAAAGAGTCTGACCAGTCCATTGAGCAACCTGGTGGGCGGCAGGACCACTCGCTGAAGGAGGCAGCACCATAGGGGCAGAGCTTCTCTTCTGGAGAAAGTGAGAGCAGCGTGAGTCCACCTCGTTCCAGAACGTGCGAATGCTCCCCCCACGTCAGGAAGGTTTCACTACTTGGCCTCGGTGCTTTACGTGACCTTTATGTGTGCCAGGCTGGTGGCCAGCACCCGAGGTAAGGACATAGAATCACTTCCTAGTCTGGACTTCAAACTGAGACTCTGTTCTTTCAAATTATCCATCTAATTGACTCCAAGCCTTCAACCAATCTAGCTCAGAAATATCTCTTTCCTTCTTGGATTTCTCCCATCAGTGATAACCACAAAACCCCCAGCGACACTTACTTATCCAAGGGGCTCGGTCAGGGCCATGAAGGTCCTGAGCAGAGGAAACAGGACAAGCTCCCATGCGCCGAGGTTTTCAGCTGACTCTTCATCTGTTTTCGCTCTCAGTGCCACATGGTGTCACTGTTGAAACACAGACAAGCCCATCACCCTGGTGTTGCCCCGCAGCGCTGATATAAGTCATAGATGCTGCAGCTCCTCTGGAGTTGTCCTCTCTGCCCACTGCTGGCATTTTGGTAGGCTGACCACGGCTCCCCACCAGCACCTGGTGCCTGGTTTGCCCCTTTGGCCGCTCTCTGGGACTGAGACTGGGGGGCGGGGGGGCTTTGCAGAGCACACCCTCAGGCTCCACGGCCCTCAGGGGGCTTCAGCTGTCCCGCCACCTTCCTGGCTCAGATGCGCCTCTGGCTCTGCAGCTCCAGATGTTTGCACCTCCGTGCAGGGTTGGGGTAAGTCCAAATGGTTGCTACTCTGCAGCGTCAGCCGCAAGCCCTGAGGTACCTTTCTCTCCCTGTTTCTGCATTCTGCCCTGCAATGAGGGAAATTCTAACCCAGGCCCAGCCCTCACCCCATTTCCTACCCTGCTACGGAGAACTCCTAAGAGCTGGGCAGAAGAAGGGAGGGCAGGGAAAGGGTAGGTACCACCACTGTTTAAGTTGTTCTTGAAGGAAAGTTAGGACAACGCCCACCCTCCCCTTCAGGGGAGACAAAATAGACGATATATCTTACTTCTGTAAAAATAATAATTGTTACATTGAGATCATTTTAGGAGTTGCAAAGATATCTATAATATTCAAATGGCTCAGTTCTGGGATTCAGCTAGGTTATTGAAGCTGCACTTTCTATAATGGGGGATTGGGCTAAAAAGGTGCCTGGTGTTTAGCAGGTGTTAGTTCTCACACTTCTATAAAGTCGCCATCATTGTCATCCCTGTTTTACGAATGAAGAAACTAAGGCTCTGGAAAGGTAACTGCCAATAATATGCTCAAGAGCTGTGGGAACCCACCTTGCCACAGCGCCCCGCCCCCGCTGTGTCCCTGATGGGTGGGCGCCAGCCACCTCCAAATCAGGAACCACCAAGGAGCACTGAGCCTAGCCTCTGCGTCTTCCCTGATGTCACCTGCTCCTTTCTCCTCGGGCCTGTAAGGAGACACGCCTGGATCCATGGCTGGAGATAAGGCAGCTTCTGTTGATAAAGCCCTGTCCTGCTTTTATGGAGCAAAATTAAGTGGATTTTTGTTCCCTGAAACCTAAGTGCCCTGGGCAGAGCCTGCCTGTACCTAAGACAATAGCAGCAGCTTCCGTGCCCCAGGGGCTCGCCAGCTCCCGCTCCACTCTCTGCCCTCCGCAAACGGAACCCAATTATTAAAGATTCTCAGCTCACTCTGGGGGTAAATGTGAAACAATTTTCTTTTTTCTACTAACTGTCCCCAACCACTCTGTCAAATCCTACTTTTCTGTGACATATAGACATGTGAGCAGAGAGTCCTCCTAACAATATAAGAACATAACCATTGTTCACTTAAACAACATACATTATTATGTGTGTTTTAAAATATTTGTTAATTTTTTTCTTATTCACTTCCCTAAAATTGAAGGTCTACGTATGGATAGAATTCAAAGGCTACTTTCTCTGTAACTCCTCAACCTGCCACGGCCTCCATCCTTCATCCCAGGCAGCTGGCACCAGGTCAGACCCTTGACTGAGGATCTCACTGGTCGACTGCCTAGAACCAGCGTCCATCCTGGGTCTCAGCTGCGTGGGTGGGGTGGGCAGTCACGGGGAGTAGACAGCAGCCCTTCCAGGTGCCCTCCCAGACCCCTGGGCAGGGCAGAGAGCTCTGAATGGTGGTGCCTGGGCTTCCTTTTGCCTTAACTAGGCCCAAAACATATTTACCAAAAGAAGGCTTTACCACATTCTAATCTCTATATTTATTTCTTAAATTATAATCTAGGTAAAATTTAGAGATAAGAGAATACTTAGACAAAAGTAGGGATTTAATTCACTAATCTTCACTAATTTTCCACTATAGCTTTACCTTTGTGAATTCTCTTTTGTGGCCAGTCTTTCTTAACAAGTCTAATTTTTGCCAGATCCATTTTTTATCTCCAAGATGTGATTCTCTAAAGGTTTACTATTTGAAATTTTCGCTGTTGTTGGTTTTATTTTGCATCGGTTATTCACAAAAGTAATGCTCACTGCAAACTGAATAAAGGATGAATAATTTGTCTCCATTTTTTATTGCAAAATAAACTATCACCTGTCAATGTTCAGTCTAATCCAGGTACCTCCTTCACATTCTGAAAGTTCATCTACAATCAGAAGTTATTCTGGGTCTTTCACATGATTTTCTCTTTGACTTTAAGAGCTTGGTTTCAAACACTCTTATAGATTAGATATATCTATCCACAGATATTTTTCGTCTAATTTCAAGCTTCCCCTTATCTAGCATCTGCACAGTTCCTGCAGGAATAGTTGCCCTTTTCCCAGTCATTTGCCAGCACTGCCTTCTAATGCAGATCTCCAGAAACAAGGCCCCTAAGAAATGGAAAGCACAAATGAGCGTGCTTTGTAAACTGCTAACTGCCGTGCTGGTGAAAGATCTGGCAACTATTCGAGTCACTTCCAAACTGCTTTTGATTTGTGGGAGGGCCAGGCATGTGCTTTAAAGAACCTCAACCCCTTTTGTCATTATTAACACTGCCATTCAAGATATCTTTTTCCAAATAGCAGAAACAGAAAAACGACACTGTGCACACACGTCTCCCACCCACACGGGAAACTCTGTTCAGTCTGAGTGCAGGTCTAGCTGTTGCTCAGTTTCTGACAGGGCTGTTTAGGCCAGAGACAGTCCACTTGACACCCGAAGCCGCAGAAAAGAGGAGGAGATGATGGTGTTCCCAGGCAGCTAGGATGCTGGCTAACTCAGGGCTAGCCCACGGAGAGATAGGAAGATGCATTATTTTGAACGTACATTTACAAACAGTTGCAAACAGAACACAAAGAGGGTTTTTTGCTTTGTTTTGATTTTATCTTTGTGTTTTTAACAGGGAACCATTAAGCATTCTCTTTACGCTGCCAGACACGGCATCTACCAAACCAACGAAAGGGCTGAAATGAGAGGCAGGGTAAATGATTAGATTCTGATCTGGTCCACGTCATCAGCCCTGAACACCAGGCTGGGTATTCTTCTTAGAGCTCAAAATAGATATCTGGGGGTGTCAGGCAAGAACCAGGCGAGTGTTCTCCCAGGAAGGAGAGTCTCTTTTAGGAACCAGATGGTCTCGGCCACTTCACTTCCACACCTCCCCACCGTACTCCTCCCCACCCCCACCCCACACACACATATTGAATTTCACACTTTTAAAAATAGCTCCTGAGCAGTGGGGAGCTGCCTCTGAGCCTGGATCCCAGCCCTGAAACGCAGGCTTCCCTTGACTAAGAGCTGCCCTATATAAACCTGATTCTAGCTCCTGCTTACCTTTCCTTCATGCAGCAAAAAGAAAACCTCTCTCTCTCCACCAGAGCAGCTCCAGATTGAAATATTCACAGAGACAGATGTGGGACTCCCATAGCTGAGCCCAGACTTCCTTCAGCTCCTTAATAATTCATCCTGCTTATCTCCAGGAGGAATCTGATGGCATTGCTTTCACTTTCTACAAACGCCCCTTAAAGTCCCCCAAGGATGCCCTGACAAAGCCTCAGCTCCACGCGGCCTGTCCTGAGCCCCAGAGAGGTGGCTGGGATGAATGTGCAAGCCTCAGAAGGCCATCCTGGCCTGGGAACTAATGCATTTGTCCCACAGAACCCAGCAGGGGAAGAAGAAAGCAGCAGGTCAGGAAGAAATTTCAGTGTATTTGAGGAGACACAGGACCTGGAAGCTCCTGATCGCCCACCTTCACTTCCCATGGTCCCTCGGGGCTCTCAGGTAAGTCTGTGTTCCTGCAGAGGGGGCTCCTCGCTCCTTAAATTTCACCCCACTTTCCTTACTCTGAATGAGATCACCTGCATCACTGCAGAGTTAAGAGGTTGTGCTTTTGTTAATTTTTCTTTCTTCTCCGGAGGAGTGGCTTTACCTCAGCTCCATTGCCTACCTGCCCTTACCTCCTTGGGTGCTCCAAAGAGCTGATAACAACAATGGTGACCTCTGCATTCTGTATGCCTGATACTCTGCTAGGGAGGGGTGGTATCTGCAGTTGGTGAAGAAACTGAGGCTCAGAAACGTTAAGGAATTTTCCCAAGGCCACACAGATAGTCTCAGTGGGTAATCGGGGACAGAGGATATTTCTGTTAATATGACACTGAGAGGAGTGAATGGGATCATGTGTGTGAAGGACGTAGCAGAGTGCCTGGTGCAAAGCAGGTGCCCAAACTGCGATGTAGCATAGCGGCTCGGCAGGGTTGTGACTGTAATTGTATGCAGCTCAGAGACAGGTGGGAGGGATGTATTGACCTGGCCTTCCTCACGAAGCCACCTAGTGGTTAGTGAAGAAAAAGCCTTTAATAAGCAAGGCCCATTTGGTCAATTTTGTGATCAAACAGCATCTTTAGGTAACGGCCAGGTGACCCACACCTGCCTCCTGCGCTTCTCCTCTGGGTGGGTGTGTGAGTTTCCTTTAAGCTCCCAGTGATTTGGGGAGGTGGCGTGTTCTTGTGCCCCTCTGGCTGCTGTGGTCTCAGCGGTGGCACCAGGCTGAGTTGTGCAGGGGGTGAGCCTTGCTTCTTCCTGCCAGCCGAGGCCTCCCTTGAAGGGGGCACTGGCCAAGGTCCCATCACCTCCTGTGGAGCCCTCTGGTCTCTGGTCCCTTTTTTTTGGTCCCTGGCTTGGTGGGTCCATCCTGAGCCTCAACCGTGGGGTCACTGTGCCTGACCCCAGAAGGTCCCACTTCACACCTGCATCCCAGAACCCAGCGTCTACCACACAGGTAGCTGAGGGCCATTTTGGGGACGACCCAGTCCTCAGGAGGATGCCGCTGCACCCCTTAACCAGGCCCCATGGAGGCTTGGGGCCTCTGCTGGTGACCCATCTCAGAGCCATGTGTGAAAAGGGGTCAAACGTTTCCCTCAGCTTCTCTGCCCACCACCTTTCCCAAAGACGCGTCTTCTGCAATCTCCCGGACACTGGTGAGCAGTTCTTCTCCTCTCCCTCTTCCTGACTCCACCTCCTTTCCAGAAGTTTCTCTGTCTCATCCGCCAGGCCGGCTCTTGACATGCTGAAAGGGGAGATGGGAATTGGGACAGCCTCTCTTCTCCATTGTCTTGCTAGAAAGGTCAGCGGCCTGCCCTTGCCTGCCCTCGCATCTTAAGCCTCCTGACTCACACCTAGAGGTGGCAGCTGAGAGGTTACAGGAGCAATTAAAACATAATGGTTTAATATTTGTGAAAGTCGTGGCCTCATTAGAGAGGCTAAGAGCACCGGCTTTGGCATCAGATGGGGTTCAATCCCTTGCTCGGTCAGGTGCTAGCCCTATTGCCTCAGACAAGTTTCTTAACCTCTGCAAACTTCAGTTTCTTCATCAATAGGGTAAAACAACATGATGAGTAAATCACGTGCTTAGCACATGCCTGGAGCATGTGATGCTGGAGCATGTGGGTCACTGCCATTGTCGTTGTTACGACTTTATCATTATTTCTTCCCTCGGCCCCAGCATCTCCACGCCTGTCGGGCCAGGGATGAGGCCCCCTGTCACACTCACCAGGTCTTCCAGAGCTCCTCGTCTGCCTTCCCTCTTGGTCCTCGCAGGGCTCCCTCCAGGACCGCCCTGTGGATTAGGCCTTTGTCTTTCCAGGCCCAGTTCGAGGCCCCCCGTTACTGGGTCTTCTAGTAACACTAAAGTAAATATCAGCTTATCAGCTTAGCTGTGAATCACTTCTTGGACTTCCCATTTCCTGCCCCGTGTGCTTAGGTAACTCTTCCTGTGGCTTGTCACCCTCCTTCAAGAAGACCAGGAACCACATCTAAAGCATGTTTTCATTCACTGAGCAAATATTTACTGGGCTCCCACTATGTTCTAGGAATGGGAGACAGAGCGCGGAGCAGGTCAGACGAGCTCCAGCTCTGTGAAGCTTCCGTTCTAGTGCGGGAGACACATGATGAACCGTACGTGACTGTATCTGATATCACTGCCCTCAGAACAAAGTGTGATGGTGAGTGACAGGCAGCAGGGAGAGGATACCAGGTGTGTGTGGGGGTGACATCTGAACTAAGATCTGAACGGTGAGAAGATTGCTGGATGGTGTTCCAGAGAAAGCACATTCTACCTGCAAAGGCCCACAGGGTTGGTCTGTTCTAGAAACAGAGAAAACCAGCATGTCTGGAGAGCAGAGAGCAGGGGAAGAGAGAAGGCAGCAGTAGGAGCTGAGGTCAGAGCCTCATGTGGTGCCGGATGCCGCAGAAACCAGCTTTGATTTTGTTCTGAGGCACAGTGGGGAGCGACTGCAGGGTCGTCAACTGAGGGCTGACTTTGTCTGTTTCGTGTTTCACACAGATCACTGTGGAGGGTCTGTGGCTTGCCGGGGGGGACAGAGGAGAGCCTGGGAGGCAAGTGAGAAAGGCTTTTGCTGTGGCTCAGGGAGAAATGGTGGAGGCTTGATTGGGGTGGCAGCAGTGAACCTCAGAAGTGGAAGGATTCTGGATTTTTCTGGAGCTACAATTTATAGGACTTACAGATAGATTGTATACAGAATGCGAAATCACAGATGCGTTTGTGGGGGGGTGCTTACTCAGCTGGGGAACACTGGGGTAGAAATGAGTTGGGGTGGAAGGGACTGGAGGTTTCTGTCTTGGACATTTTAAACTTGAGATTCATATCCAAGTGGAGATGGCAGGTGGGCAGTTGAAAATAAAAGTCTGGAACTCGGGAAACAGGTCAAGGAGATGATCTGTTTGAATACATAAAACAGAATATAGATGGTTCTTAAGCTGTGGAGCTGGACGAGATCTCCAAAGGACAGGATGAAGAGACAGAAGAGAAGGGGTGGCAGTCTGTGCCCTCCTGCTTTTTGCACCTTTAGACGCCTGGATGGCCGAGGAAGAAGAGAGGCCACCGGAGACTGAAAAGGAATAGCTGATGAGGTCGGAAGGAACCAATGAGCAAGCAGTGTCCCGGGACCCAACAGAGTGTCCCCAGAAACATCCCATGCTATTATCTTCCTGAGCGCAGAGTAGGTGGTCTGTAAATGCTTTCAGAAAGCACAAGCTCTGTGGCTGCTGCTTGACATCTTTCCCTCTCCTGACACCTGCGTTTGAGTGACAGGTGCTACCTGGCCACTGGCTGCTGGCCCAGGAACCTAACAGCTTCCCACTATCTCTGACATCAAGGCTGATACCTCCACCTGGTTCAGAGGCCCCACCCCAACCTCCCGCCCCGGTTTCACACCCTGTGGCCTGTGACCCACAGCCCACGCCCTTCCCTCCTGCGGGCTCGCCCTACTCTGTGCCACCCACGTGGGATGAGGCAAGCTCCTTCCTACTCCTCACGCAACTCTGCCCTGTCTCTTCCTGGAGCGCTCCCCCTCCCCTCCCACCGCTTTTCCACACCTTGCCCCATTTCAAGATGCGGCTCAGGGCTCAGCCCCCCAGAGCCTCCTCGGTACTTCAGGCCCGGGCCTCTGTATTACACCTTTACTCGCTGCCAGCTTCCTGAAGCCCATGGGACACCCTCTGCCTCGCCCTCATGTCTAATCCGTCACCCGCCGGCGTCGGTCCTGCTGGGAAACACCTCTCTAAAATCCCATCCTTCTATCCACCCTGCCCCCCACGCTGGCCCAAGCAACCACCTGTTTTGCATCTGAGCCACTACAATTCACCTTCCCACCTCCAGTCCTGCCCAGCCCTGTCCCCACCCAGAGCCATAGTGGGCCTATTCACGCCACCTCTCTGCTTAACACTGGCCAGTGCCATCCAGTCCCTGAAGATAAGATTCCAAATCCTCACCATGGTTTCCAAGGCCTCTTGTGAGCCACCTTCCCAGACAGCTGTCACCGCCTCCCTCCGTACTCTCGGTGCCCCAGACACACGCGTTTGGTTCCTCAACATGCCCGCCTCTTCCACCTCCCAGGGTCTCGGTACACCGACAGCCCGCAGATAACTCCTGATTCTCCTCCAGGCTTTAGCCAAAAGGCTACTTCCTCTGGGAGATCGTCCCTGAGGCCTTCCCTAGTTGGAATCTGTCACTGTTTTTCAAAGCAGACACTCTGTTCTTTCCCTTCCTAATACTTATCACAGTTGATGGCTGTAAATTGGTTATTTATTTAGTTTCCACAAGAGCAGGTAACACATTTATTCTGACACCCAGAACCTATAGCACAGTGCCTAGCATTTAGGAGGGTCTCGAAAGTCTTTGTCACCGGTGAACAAAGCTTTCCCTGACTTCTCCAGCCCACATCAACTTGTAGAGACTTTGCTTTCCAAGTTCACTTACAGTTAGTTCTTCCCAATCCATTTGTCCTGTAGCAAAAACAAAAAGAACAGCAATAGCCACAATTTATTAAGTTTGATTATACTCCAGACTCTGTGTGCTAGTCACTATATATAAAAAATATTAATATATGTGTACGTATACATGTATATATAGTATATATATTAAAAAATCTTTACAATGATCATATGAAATTAGGACCCCATTTTATAGATGAGGAAAATGAGTCTCAGCGAGATCAGGGAATTGCCTACCACTGCCCAGCTAGTAAGTGCCAGAGCCAAGATAATGAATCCAGGTCTCTCTAACTCCAAATCTCCTACTCTTTCCACTACACATGTCTGTGTGGGTCTTGTCTCTCCAACAAGTCTGTGAAATCTAGTTCTTGTTGTAGTAAGCTTTTTGTTGGTAGCCTCTTTGGTTTGTGTGTGTTTTGTTGTTTTTTGGGGTTTTTTATATCCTCCACCTCCACATTGCAGGTGCTCCCTAAATACCTGCTATTTGTGAG